GTCTTGTCTCAAGTCTGAGACAAAAATTAAAAATGATCTGTGTATTAAAGCTTAGGGCAGAGTAAGTGAGAAGAGAGTGGTAGAGTTAGAATCCCACAGTGCAGTGCAGCAGAAACAGGAATCAGCCAGAGAAGGACTGACAGATGGAAAATTTCTGGAGAAGTAGTCAGAAAGGAGGTCCATCCATTCCCTCTCCAGGTGGATGTTCTCCCATTACTGCCAAGCCTGGAGGAGCTGGGTTTTATTTTATTAGAGAAACAATAATTTCTTTATAAAAGTAAACAAAAGCAGCATGTAACAAAATCTCTTAATGCTGTAAGTACTAAATGCTATGAAGAGATAAAGGATTAAGAACTCACAGCACATCAGACTTATTAGGAATCATGTCATGAGAAAGGCAGCATTTTCAGATACATCTAAGGAGGACAAACCAGGCAATGGGACATGGCAAGTGAAGGAAAGTGGAAAAGAAACACATCGTATGGTTGGTGCATAGGAGATACGTGAGAAAGGAGAGAGAGATGGAAAACTAGATTGAGGACAAATTGAGAAAGGCTACAAGTACCAAACTGAGGTGTTTGGTGTGTTTTTTTTTTTGTTTTTTTTTTTTTTTTTTATTTACTTAGTTGATAATGAGCAGCTAGTTATTGCTTTTTGAGAAAGTTTATAACTCATGGACTAAGTTTTAGGAACATAAATCTAGTGACAGTAATTATATGATTACTATATTAGGCAGAAATGACTCTCAGTGACCCATCGTCTTGTATGATCCCCTCCATTTTGAATGTAGAAGGAAACTATGAACATGATGGGATATTACATGATTCAATTATGTTAAATGGCAAAGTTGACTTTAAGAATGGGATGTTATCCTTGGTAGGCCTCACTTCAGGCACACTCTTTACAAAGATGGGGTTTCTTTCTGGAGAAATAAATTAGAAGCACTGTATTCAACATGCAAAAAAATATTTATTACTGGTTTTAATATGGAGGGGAACACACAGAAGAAATGGCAAGTGGCTTCTAGTAGCTGATAACAAGCCCTGGCTAAAAGTCTGCAAAAATATAGAACCATGGTCCTACAATTACATATAAGGAATTGGATTCTGCAAAAACCTGAATGAGCTTGGAAGAAGATTTCTACTCAGAGCCTTCAGATAAGAATACCAGCTGGCCAACACATTGAATGTGAGCAGAGAACCCGGCTGAGCTCCCCTGAACTTCTAACCTATAGAATGGTGAAATAATAACTGGGTGTTATTTTAAGCCTCTAAGTTTGTAGTAATTTGTTATGCAGCAATAGAAATCAGATTCATCTGGAGTGGGAAAGAACTGGAAGCTATTTAGACTAAAAACATAGCCTAGATTAAAATAAGTTAATAAGTAAATGAAAGGGGCTGCAATAGAAATAAAAAGAACAAATTAAAGAAATAGTAGAGACATCCTGTATGTGACTTAGCAATTAATATGTGACAGTCAGAAAGAAGAAGGTTAATACAAGTCTAAGACTTGGAACTTGGGTGGCTGAAAGGATAAAGGTGTCAACATAAAGATTCAGAAACCAAGAATATACTGAGGAGGTTGACCAATTTTAGATGCACTGAATTTATAATACCAGCAGGATAAACACAGTTTGTAAAGAATGGGGGTGCTGAAATACTGAAATACTGTTGGGGTCTAAGGCTAGAAATCCTTGTGGAGTATTGGTAACTAAATAAAAGCATATAACACAAGTGAGTTAACGGAAGAAATAATGGAGAGAAAGATTGGTATGAAGTCGGAAAAGGACCCCAGAAGAAAGACTTCTCCCACCTAGATGGAGATCATATTCTTCCTCTGCCTGGAATAGTCTATCTAAAATACCCCCAGAAAACCACCTACTTTGCTTTTAAATCTCAATTTAACTATCGTCTCTTCCCTTCAGCACTCTCTGCCTTACTCAGCTAGAAAAAAAATACCTTAAAGTTTTCCAAGTGGTTATTCCTATCTCCCAAGTAGACTAAGTTTTCATAGGACAGAAACCATTTCATTCATCTTTGTATTCTCAACACTAAATTGTCAATAACACAAGAGATACTAAATATGTATTGAATGAATAAAACAAAGATGGGAGTAATAAAAAAAGGAAGGATCCAGAACTCCACAACTGTTAATACAGCCTTACCTAAGTATTCAACAATAATGGTTGAGAAGTTTTTTAGAAAATAAATGTATATCACTCAAGAATATCAATGAAGACAAGCATAATATACATGAATTCATACATACATGCATAGGATTTTATAGTCAAAAGTAGAGTTCAATGCAACAGAATCCACTAATTCACTAATCTGCTGTTCTCTTCTATTTTAGAAATGCCTTCCTTTAACTCTCCTTGTGTTTCAGAAAAAAGACTGATAAGTATCCTCTGATTCAGCAGTTGGGTATAACAGTCACAATCTCTAGCATAAAATAGGAAAGTCCTATTATTTAAAAAATTAAAACAACTCTTAATTAATGCAACACAACAGAGAAATCAGATACAAGGCACATGTACCACCAATATGCTTAGCTCAGTTCTTCCTGAAAAGCTGCAAACCCTCCATACATCAAGGAAACCAGATGCTCAGCCAGAAATAGGAATCCTATGATTTATACCATTTGAGTGGAGGCATCGCAAGATGCCACCATTCTGAAACAATTTAATACATCCAGATTTGGGATTCTGTAGCCTTTGATAAGACAAACACTGTGCTACTATCTTGAAACACAAGATGGCATCTCCAGGTGTTCTGATGAGGGGAGTTGTTTCTTTCCCATTCAATTTGCTTTCAATTCAATTCCCCAAGAGGTCATTCCAAGAGTCTGGAAGGGGTATCATTTATTTGTCGTTGCTGGACATGCTGCTGCTGACTTCATCAATCTCATTCATTGCCTCCTCTTCCTGGATGTATGTTAGTTGCAAATGAGTTATCTTAAGTCCAAAATTTGGCTGCTACTACAGTTCTCTATTTTGTTGGCTCCCTATCCAGACTTTCTATTCTAGTCTTGCAATTACAGCTGGGTATCTCTGTTAGGAATTATTCTACCTGCTCATCATCCCCTGTTACTTTCATTATTCTGAATACAATGGCTGGTCACTAAAATATAAAGATGATGATGCCTTCATCTCTGCCTTAGACAAAAAGACAAGCAACTCTCTTAGGTCTCAGCCAACTCTTTATAAGCATTTAAGAAGAGTGCTAGGCACTATGCTAAGCTCTTGACATGGACTGTCCAATTATTCTTTACAACAACCCTGTGAGATGACACTATTATTTTTTGCTTATGGCTTAAATAACAAAATGGAGGCACAGAAAAGGGAAGGTACATATAGCTGGGAAGGTACATATAGCTAGGAAGGTAAAGGGAGGCATTGCAGACATGCTGTCAGTCTTCAGCATCCACAAATGAAGAATCATACGGAGCTCAGAGTGGTAAATGCTGTGACAGAAATGTGCACTGTACCTAAAGGGAGGGAAGTCTCAAAGATGGTTTCAAAGGGGAAGAGGATGAATTTTTGGCAATGAGGACTGAAATTGGGGTGGCAAGGGGACCCAGAACCATGTATTTAAAGGCCAGAGGTGACCACCAAGGCAGAATAAGTGAAAAAGAATTTTCTTCTGGATTTGGCATTCTCCCACAGCAGAGTAAAGATGTCAGGAACACTTGAGCAGGCCTAGAAGATGAGGCAGCTCACAGAACTGAAAGAGAGCAAAAAGGAATGGAAAAACAACCAATGGTTCACAGGGAAAATCAGAGAGAGAGAGTTTCCAGGGTCTATTGAATTTTGCAATTAGATCTCCACTATTAATCACTAAAGTTATTGTGTTCTTTATGCCAAAGATCAAACACATGATCTCATTTAATCCTCACAACTACTCTGGAAGTGTGTCTTATTATCTGCAGAACAGTTATCGGGGTGGCTAGGGCAAAATCCAAACCGCAGTGGGTTGAGAAGTGACTGAGTGGGGAGAACGTAGTCTGCATTTGGGATAAATGCAGGATAGAAAAGGATTGAGCCCCTACTAAAGGCTAGTCAGTGCGCCAGTCACTTTAGCACTGCTTTCTAATGTCATCCAAACAAAACTTTAAAAGGAATGTGTTGTTATTCACCATCAAAGTAGAAACTCATATTTGGAGACTCTGTGTGACTCCAGGAGACTATCTTCTTTTCAATCAACTCCATTGCCCCACAGAGGGGAAGATGGATGAATGCACTAAACATTGAGGATTTTACTGCATCTGGCCAAGAATTGCACTAAGATCATTTACATGGATTGTACACCGAAACTTCGGTTTAAATGCTAATTTCATTATTAATAGTGTGATGATCTGGCCTGAGGCCAGAAGTCAGACTCCCTGAGTTTGGATCCCAGTTCTGTCGCCCACTGTGTATCCTTTTGCCTCAGTTTCCTCATCTGAATATAATATTTGGTAATATACATGAAAGATAAATAACAAGGCATGTCTAGAGCATGAAAAGTTGTGGTATTTTTTGTTTGTTTGTTTGTTTGTTTGTTTGTTTGTTTTGAGATGGAGTCTTGCCCTGTCACCCAGGCTGTAGTGCAGAGGCACAATCTTGGCTCACTGCAACCTCTGCTTCTTGGGCTCAAGCTATTCTCCTGCCTCAGCCTCCCCAGCACCTAGGATTACAGACTCGACTGGCAACACCACGCCTAGCTAATTTTCGTATTTTTAGTAGAGACGGGGTTTCACTACGTTGGCCATGCTGGTCTCGAACTCGTGACCTCGCGATCCGCCCGCCTTGGCCTCCCAAAGTGTTGGGATTACAGGCCTGAGCCACCGTGCCCGGAAGTTCTTAGTTTAATCTCCATTGTACAGCCATGACAAGAGAGAATTAGGAAGACAAATCTAGAGACTCTAGTATTCTGTTCCGGACTCCAGGATGTTCCCGACTCCAGGATTTTCCAGACACCCTTGTTTTTAACGACCGCTGCACCATCCTGCAGGGAAGCCTTTTGGGGACTTGTAGGAAGGAAACCTTTGAGGGGAGCTGTAGGTGGGGCTGTGGTGTGTTTGCTTGTTTTTTTATTTGTTTTTAACATGGAATTGACTTGCACATATTTCTCACCTCGAGAGAAGATGATGCGGAGGAGAAGGGTGCTATGATGGTTATGCTCTCAGAAAGACAGGAAGCTATGACAGCGGAGTACAGGTGCAGGGGCCCTCAGTCTCCGTCAAGAAGAGACTCAGGGAAGTAAGCGAGAATGGTGTTCACGCTGTGACTTTGTATGGAATCAGAAAAGCGAAACTGCAGCAAGTTCTATTTTCCTCTGCCTTCTTGCTAGCCAGCATACAGCCACTGTAATTGCAGAATCTAAAAAACCTGTCCCTTCTACCATTTCTTTAGTCCTAAATCTCCTTTTCCCTTCCCCTCCCTAGCCGTCCCACCCCTACTTCCTCTCCTCTCCCTCCTGCTGCCAGTTCTCCGGTTACTTCCCTCCTTGCTTCTATCCCAGCCTGGTGCAAACTGCCTAGGAGGGCAAGGGCGAGGGAGTGGGAGAGATTGGCTGAGGACTCCACAGCCCATCAGCTAGAGAGCGAAAGAACTAAGTCAGTCTCTCTCTCTCTCTCTCTCTCTCTCTCTCTCTCTCTCTCTCTCTCACACACACACACACACACACACACACACACACACACACACCACACACGTGTACACTAAAAAACTCGGACCAGCAGCGCCGCAGCTACTCCAATCCCTGGAAAAGGCGGTCGAGCGCCCTCCGGACCGCTGCGCACAGCCCGGGCTCCGACCCCGCTCCGACCCGGCGCCCAGAGCAGCGCTAGTCCTAGTCCCTACAGCGGCCCGTTTGGCCAGGTGTTCCCAAAAATAAAGCGAGGCGGGAAGGTACAGACAAATCCTGAAAACACCCGGGCCACACACGCCGCGACCTACAGCCGTTTCTCAGCGTTGGAGTGGAGACGGCGCACGCAGCCCCGGCGCTGGTGAGGTCCGCGCGGCTGCCGGGAAGAGCCCACCTGCCGGGCTGCGCTCGGCCCGCGCCGCAAGTGGGGCTGGCCGCTATCTCGCTGCACCCGGCCGTGACCGGGGCTCCGTGAGCCCTCGCCCCAGCTGGTTTGGAGTTCAACCCTCGGCTCTGCCGCCTGCTCCCTGCGCCTTCGGAGTGTCCCGCAGCGACGCCGGGAGCGGACGCGCCGCGCGGGTACCTCGCCATGGCTGGGGTGAGCAGGCTGCTCTTTCTGTGGCTGGGCTGCTTCTGCGTGAGCCTGGCGCAGGGAGAGAGACGGAAGCAACCTTTCCCGGAGCTCCGTAAAACTGTATCAGGTGACCGCACGGCAGGTGGTGGCCGGGACTCCGAGCTGCAGCCGCAAGACAAGGTCTCTGAACACATGCTGCGGCTCTATGACAGGTACAGCACGGTCCAGGCGGCGCGGACACCGGGCTCCCTGGAGGGAGGATCGCAGCCCAGGCGCCCCCAGCCTCTGCGCGAAGGCAACACGGTTCGCAGCTTTCGGGCGGGAGCAGCAGGTGAGTGGGCGAGGTGAGAACCCCCCTTCCCGCGGTCCCGCCCCAGCTTTCTCCCAGTACCCCCCACAGCTGCCTCTTCTGCCCCTCGCTCGGTGGCGCTGCCCAGGGACCTTTCTTAGCCCTCCGCAGCTGCCCTCTGGATTCCTCTGTCCAGTCACACCCCGCGTGTCGCCAGCTGCATCTCCTGCAAGCCCAGTTTTCAAATCCAAAGTGAGAGGGGGAAATGGAGAGAAGGAAGGGCGCGAAGCAGTGGAGGGGGTCGGCTGGAGGAACTTCGTGGAAAAAGGGAAGGGGCGACACCCCATGCCTGCGAGGCCTCCTGCCCTGAGTGTCTGGAGCACCTCTAAGGTACCTTATTCTGTTGATTCCTAAATCGGCCAGCGGAAATTCCTTTGGACTGGGCTTTAGCCATGTTTACTAAGAGGCAGATGCCATTTTATGCCAATGCTAGGGCCCAAGAGAGAAATCAGTCTTGAATTAGACACTTTCCCTTCTCCTTTTAAACAGTTGCTTCTCCAAATCTTGCACCCGCTCTTAATTCGCACCCTTTGTGTTACTGTACTATATTTGACACTTTACTTGATAGTTCCTTAGTGGCAACAAAACAAAACAAAAGCCAGGTGCTTGGGAGTTTCTATTATTTAAAACGCATCTGGGTAAATAGGGGCTGTACTACATCCGTGCTGGGAGGAGCTGGGGGACAGGGGAGGGAGCAACCCTGGATGTAAACACCTCTTGGAAACTGCCCAAGAAAATCTGCTCATCCCATTTTTCAGCACAGATCACTTCGGACTGAAATTAATGGCTTAACAAGGTTTCTCCTAGCCCCTGTTGTGAAGGGAGTAACTTATGCTAACAGCCTCCCTCCCTTGTGTTAACAGCTTGAGGGAAAGTTTCCTGGACGCTAACTCTGTTTTTTATGCTTTGAGGATTCACCAGGCTTTTTTGTTCACTACATTCATGATAAGAAGAAATGTAACTGCAAAGCCTATTTTCAGTGAACTGTTGAACAATAGCCAAGAATCTTCAAGGAATAAGGCCATGTCTCAATCAATACTGTCAGAGCCACTAGAAAGAAATCTCCCAAAACTTTGATATGTAGTACTCCTGCAAAAAAGGAAAACTAAAGCATTAATCAAGGAAAGCCCTGTATTGTCTGTGTAAATATATTCTAGAGATCAAAGGCATGATGACATTTACAATAGATGTGAATTATGCTTCCTAATACAGAAGTCTTAGCTAGACACTGAACTGAACCAGATTGTACTTTCTTCTTAAAACCATGAGCATGATCTGTGAGGAGCTGGCCACCAGTAAGGAAAGAGAAACCTGCTCTGTGTTATCCACAGCATCTCAGCCACTGGAGGAGGCTGTCTTGACAGCTGACCACACCAGTGAATGCTCTGTTTACTTTAGTGCAACTCTAGGGGCAGAGCTCAGTGGAGGACTCATGTGGGAGTTGCAAGGATTGGAAGGAAGTTGGGTGAGCTAGGCAGGTGGCAAAAATGAAGGTACTCACATAGTTTCTTATATTCATATTTATTTTCTTGGTTCTATTCCTAGGGAATAGTTGAGGCTCCAAAGAGAAAAACAGTAATTTTTTTTTGTATTAACAAATTTCATTTACAGTATGAACCACTTGGTTTGAAGGTAGAATTTTAGTTTGTTTCATTCACAAATTGTACGGCTTGTATTTGTTTTCAGCTAAGTTAACCATATATAAAGATTTTAATAACTCAGGCACCATATAGTTTGTGGCTTCAACTCATTACTTCCAGTGTAATTCCAGAGAGTCCTTTACTGGCCTCACTGTAGTCTCATAGCATCAAATGATAAACTCTGATATGGAGGCCAGACATTCCCTTGAAATGATAAGTTGCAGCTTGATGCATATATACAAGACTGTGTGCCCTGATAAGAAAAGTAATCCCTTTAGCATCGTAGAGACTGTCTTAATGACTTATTCATCAAATGTAGACACTGGTTTTTGTGGAAGCTTAAGTGTCATGTTACTTCATTGAGACTCCTGGAGAGGTGGTTGGTGTTGGACCCCTTCCAAGAGTGTTTAGTTACTAACACACTAAAAAGACTATTATAAGGCAGTTCTGGCTCTAATAAGGCAGGACTCCAGGAAGGTGCTGAAGTTTTCATGTGTGTCCCTCTCTCTTCATCCGTATCAGCATTTCCATAACACCCTTTCACCTTGTGACATATGTCTCCTTGTAGGTGAAAGATGCTGTCTAAATTAATATGGTAGATACATTTTCCAGCCCAAAGTTTTTAAGTTTTAGAACATATGGGTTTCTCTGCACTGAAGACATTAGAAATTTTAATGGAAGGTCAGGTGGTGTGCTATACATGGGGCAGCTGCTGATCCGGCAGCCTCCGAGTGCTTATTCAGGCTGAGTTATAGCCTTAGAGTCCTATTTGTTCCTTGGAACATACCTGATTACAATTATTTATTGTTCTAAACCTAGAATATCTTTGGTTGAAATTTAGCTGCTGCGGTCTCCCTCTGATTACTTTCTACTTAAACCATTGCTTGATGGTGGGTGGCATCCATCCTAAATACACTTTCTGCTAACCCCTTTTCTCCTCCCTGAATGCTATGTAGTTGGTGTGCCAAAACCGTAAGTTTGGAGTGCTTGTAAGTTTTTTGTGATGTAGAAGGGTTTATGTAAAGATAGGTTTTATCTTTCCTTTTTCCAAAGGTAATTTACAAAATATATTAATGACAAAGAAGTTCAGCTTCATAAAAACACACCGTTTGAGGGAAGACAGAAGGATATGAAATTAGCATTTATTTTGATTTTGGTTTAAGTTGTCTCTGGCTACTATATGATAGAGAAGAATATTTTACATGAAGTTTTCTTCTATTTTGATCTTTTAAGATACTTACGATCATCACTGTCTCATGATTCCCATAGTCACTTAATCTTACTTTTCTTAACCAAACACCGTTATGTTCTCACTCATAGGCTGGTGTTGAACAATGAGAACACGTGGACTCAGGGAGAGGAGCATCACACACTGGGGGCAGTTGGGGAGCAGTTAGGGGAGTGACAGTGGGGGGAGGGATAACATGGGGAGAAATGCTAGATATAATATGCACCTATGCAACAACCCTGCACATGTACCCCTAAAATAAAATTTTTTTAAAAAAGCTTACTTTTCATAATGACAAATGTAATCTCTTTAGGAAAAACAATTAAAGCACACGTTTTTAGGAAACTATCACTATTTAGACATATACCTACAAAAATATCACATTTTAGTGAGTATTTGTCACCTTTAAAAAACACACATACTTCATAGGTTTAAAAAGATAATTGAGGTAATCCAGTCCCACAAGTGAATATTTTCCTGCAATGAGGAAGAGGAGATTCTTTCCTCCTATCGCCAAAATACTTTTTAAATAAGTAATTATAATATTGAAATGTTTCTGAAGTATAAGGCTAAAATATAAGGTTTTGGCAAAGATAGTATATTATTAACTGTTTAATGATCATTCCAATAGGAGCCATTCCTTCAAAATTTATAGAACCAGCAGGAAAACATCATTTGTGATGAGTTTGATACTAAAGGACTATAAAAACTATTAAAACATAGTTACCTTGAATTGCCTGGCACCTAGAAACTAGGCTTGAAATTTAGTACTTAGATAATCTGATGCTTTCATTTAAAGGACAATAGTACATCTGGGGAAGAGGAGCTGGATGTGCAGCTGCTTTGAATTACACAACTCTCTGAATACATGACAGCCTTTAATGAAGTTTTCACTGTAACAAGCAAGACAGCTTTACAATCTGTGACATTTAAAAAATCATAATGCCATGAATTCTTGATTATTCATGCTAATGGAAAGGAGAAAGGAAATGAATTACATAAAAAATAATTTAAATTTAACTTTGTAGTACAGCCAGAAACACTTAAAGAGACCAAGAGACCATGGGGGTCAATGAAAAAAAAATCTCCTAAGCAAACAATTCACTCAAGGAATATTTGTACATTAGAAATACATACATACTTCAGAATGAATTAGAAGGGTTACATACGTTTTTACCTAAGTAGTGGAAGTTCATAAGCACTTGATTGAATGAGTTCAGATTTTTCTAAAAATCAAATAGAGACATGAATATCTAATCTGCTTTTAAGCATTTTTACATTATATAATTTTATATTTGGAAGACACATTTAAGAAAACAACTCCCTCCTTTAATGGAAGCAGAAATAAGTACCGTGATGTATTTGCCAGACAATTTTTCAAACATACTGAGCTCATCTCAAAACCTGTTATTTTTAATAGCCAAATCTAATTTTCTGGGATAAATTTTCACAAAAAGAGGTCTTTGTGAGTTGTTGACAGGTGTTATATAAAATTGGGTCCCATGGTCAAATTTTGGACGATGTGATCAATTTTCTTTGCTGTGGGATCCTTCAAGGCCTTTAAATGCTAATGAGTCCCCATAAAAGGGGAATACTTTCTCCTGGAGAAAGCATTTCAGAGAAATGTCCTTCTAAGATGGCTAGTTGGGAAAACAGTGATTCAACTGAACACAGTCTCATTTCTCATTTTCCATGCAGTACCTACCTCACTATGTTTACTTTTATTATTGCTTTTTGGACTTGCGTTCAATTGGCATTGTACCATCTTCCTGCTTTTATGTTATAAACTTCTCTGAATGTAATTTTAGAGTTCTTCTGTCATTAAATTTTTTCCCCTGTATCTTTATGAGTTCTCCTTCATTGTTTTCTTCTATAAGATTAATATGCATTGTTTCACACAGGTATTATGATTTAAAAAGAAAAGGTAGTTTATTTGTGGAAAAACTCACTAATAATCATACATATCACTTTGTTAATGTTTTATCGCCATTACTATCTTGATGAAAGACACATTTATTCAAGATATCAATCAAATCCCTTATGTTATAAATCCCCAGTATTTGTTACATTTAATAGGCATAATAAAAAAAATTTTACCTATCAAAAAATCTCAT